AAGTTGAGTAAAAGTGTAAACACAAAATGTCTAGTGAGAAAAAATTAAGTCAATTTAGATGTAGTTTTATAACGCAACTTTGATGTTAAGTAAACGGTCCACCTCACTAAAATGGTAGTCGTAACGTCACCTATAGACATGAACAGCACCGTGGGCATAACAGGGGGCCTACCATGAACAGTTTTCTGAAATTTCGGAAACGATACACAAATTTGATGTTGAAATTACGTAATATATATCGTTTAAAAATATTTAAAATGTTAAAATGTCGTTCCTTCGGACTTCTATGGTAGGATTTATGATAAACAAAACGTTAATCTTCATTTACTGAGCCGATTTCGGTATAAACAAGAACAAATAATTGAGTTCGAAAATTCGGAATCACTTCATGATGGACCCCCAGCAGTATATACTGTGACATCCATGAGACTGCTCATGCGTTTCAATTGTCATGCCCTCCGTACTCAATAATTTCACTGTCATATCTCACCCATCAAAGCAAAACAACCATGCAAGTACAGATTCACGGCAGAAACACGAGTGGGACAGAGGTACCCAAGCAGACGATTTTTGTACAAAGTTTCCCTCTTGTCAAATGGAAATATTCAAATGTAAATACTCACATAATATCGCCAACTGTACAACTCATTGTAGTACATTTCCGTCTGATTGCGTAAAAAGAAGTAATAATCATATTAAAAAACAGCACAAACAACACAAAGACAGTACAAAAATACAAGATTTTTGGCACTTTTCAAATTAAATTGAACATACACTCCTCGCAAAAATTAAGGGAACATAAAATTTTTTGAAATTTTTGGGTGATTTTCAACAGGCTGTATTTCAGTGAATAATAATCGTACAGGAAATTTAAAAAAAGGGTTTTGAAGCTTGAAAACTCTAGTTTTCAGATTTTTTGGTGAAAAAATTTTTTGAGCTCCGGTTTCCATGCAATTCTTAAACAAAGCTGAAAATAATTTTTTTCTAAATTTTCTAGGTTTCGTTTTTCACTCTATGGGCATGGAAAAATTTTTTCGAGCTACTCCATTGTATAGGTCTCTTAGCGTGTTTATTCAGCTTCAAAAATCGCTTTGGATGGCTCAATTACGACCATTCGTCTCCGAGATATCGAACTTTGAATGCAAAAGCATCCTTTTCCATTCAACTGCTAATATCTCTGGAACTACTGGTCGCACAGCAAGCGGGCGCCAAGTTTCTTTATCTGCATAAAATTTCCAATTAAGCACAGTCAAGAGTTAGTGAAGAAAAAATTTTTTTCCACCTCTAACATTGAATTGAAAAAAGTGGAAAAAAGTTACTTTTTCTCCTTTTTTGGTTACTTGGCTGTATCTTCGCTAATATGGGCGGGAAAGCTAAGGTTTGAGGAAAATTTTACAGTCTATTGTTCCTTAAAGAACCCCCTAAATCCCTGGAGCGATCGGTTCAACGGTTTTTCCCGGACCAATTGATTGAAATTTTGGAAAAAATAAGGGAACAAGGTTTTTGTCCCTTAAACTCACCCTAATCCATTCAAAAATCAATAATTTCATTTGTTTTTCACTTTTTACTCAATTTTTTGTTTTTTAAAAATTCATTATCAAAAAAAAAATCGAAAAAAATCAAGAAAATTTTTAAGAAAAATTTTTGCTTGCTGTGCGACCAGTAGTTCCAGAGATATTAGCAGTTGAATGGAAAAGGATGCTTTTGCATTCAAAGTTCGATATCTCGGAGATAAATGGTCGTAATTGAGCCATCCAAAGCGATTTTTGAAGCTAAATAAACACGCTAAGAGACCTATACAATGGAGTAGCTCGAAAAAATTTTTCCATGCCCATAGAGTGAAAAACGAAACCTAGAAAATTTAGAAAAAAATTATTTTCAGCTTTGTTTAAGAATTGCATGGAAACCGGAGCTCAAAAAATTTTTTCACCAAAAAATCTGAAAACTAGAGTTTTCAAGCTTCAAAACCCTTTTTTTAAATTTCCTGTACGATTATTTTTCACTGAAATACAGCCTGTTGAAAATCACCCAAAAATTTCAAAAAATTTTATGTTCCCTTAATTTTTGCGAGGAGTGTATAAGAATAGATTGGAAAGACAATTAAATAGATAGCTGCTTAATGAAAATTTGAGTGTAATAAATATAAGGGTAAACCTATTTATTAATTTAAATGAATTTATTTTATAACAGATTTGACTACAATTACAATCGACAAATCCTTCTAAACCCACTACTTGTATATACCATTAGATATTATAGTCGTGAGCATATATTTTATTGGTCAAATATATATATATATATATATATATATATATATATATATATATATATATATATATATATATATATATATATATATATATATATATATAAAGATATACCTACACGAGTATTGAGACAGACAATATTTAGAATTCATATAAAATTTTAGATCTAAAACTGTACTGGATGGTTATAACTAATACATAGATTATTAAGACCTAGATGGAGTGTCTGTGTGTTTTGTATAGTAAAATCTTTATTGTACATAATTTACATTGGTCACATTAAAAAATTTAATATACAAAAGCGGACTTATCCCACAGAGGGATCTTTTAGAGTCAACCTTTGATTCATTTTTCATCGAATGAATTCGAGTTGTTTGTTCGAGTCAATAGTAATTCACCTAAGGTTGCACGTCAAATGTGACGCTAGCCTATAACAGACAATGCCACACACGTTTTCTGTCAGTCTATATGTGTATAAGGTATAAATTTTTTTTAGTTATCGCTAGTATCACCAAAAATAGCGCATGTTTACTTGTTAAAAATAAATTACGCATCAAACTCAACAGTTGACTGATCGTTTTATTAGGACTTTTATTGAGAGTACGCTCCATCTACGTATATAAGCCCTATCGCACATAAATAGCTCCTTTTAAATTAAATTAACTTTTGCCTGCAGAAAACGAACTATTAGGGTAAGCAAAAGATATAAAAGGGCTCTTTATGGTACAAAGGGAATATGTAAGGGCTCTGAAAATACCTATCGCCCTTTCTGGCCCTTGGCGTAACGTAACGAAATACACTGGAAATAACATTATGAGATAATATTTTAAATAATTAGTTTAAACTTATATTTTCCTTTCTTATTTTGTATCCTGAAATTCTTGTATTAGATACATATATATCTATTTTAGTATGTAAAAGAAATATATTAGGTACCGTCTAGTGCAGTGTTTTCCAAACTTTATCATGACGTGAACCCCTTAATATGTAAAAATATTTTGCGACCCCCTACCCTCTTTGGTTCCTAACTTGTAAGTATTTTATTATATTACACAATACCAAACCTGTACGTTGTTATTTATTTTTTCAAGTTAAGTATCGGTTTAAATACAATACAATAAATAAATAATACATAATGAAGTACCTAAAATAGACATCGATTACGTTGCGAAAGGTCTCCTTGGGAAAGCGATACGACAACAATAGTGCTAAATAACTGATAATACGTGCGTTGCGAAATTCCGAGACCTCTTTGTAGAGACTTGGGGACCTCACAGTGGGTCGCGACACACACTTTGAACAACACTGGTCTAGTGTGTATTCTAAATATAGTGTACAGGGTGAAGCCTAAATTATTGGCAATCCAGGATTGTTTACTTTTTAATAGATGATAATCGAATTTTAATCTCACTGTGCTATCTATCGGTATACGCTGGCGCGGTATTGATTAATGATGATAGGTGAGCATAAAGTCATATAAATAATGATAATTCATCAAAAGGGGGGTAAAGAGGTTTCTTCAGGGTCGGCAACGCGCATGTAGTATTGTAGGCGTTCATAATCTACGATAACCACTTGCCATCAGGTGGGCCGTATGCTTGCCACCTCAGTGGTATAAAAAAAAGATAAGTTGGCCCATCATAAAAACCACGATAGTATTCATTCTTAACTATATCATCCTTATATATATTTTTTTTCTTTATACAACTTATAATGGCAAACAAGCTGACGGCCCACATAATGGAAAGTGGTAACCGTCGCCTATAGACATGAGCAATACCATGGACATAACAGAGTATACTGTTTCGCCCATGATATCCCCCACGCGTTGCCATTCCCGAGAACTCAGGTGTTATTCCTCTGTACCTTGTAAATTCACGCCATATCCCACCCTTCAAACCGAAACACAGTCATGCAAACACAACTGCTTCACGGTAGAAACACGAATGGGACAGAGGTACCCAAGCAAACGACTTTTGTACAAAGTCTCCCTCTGATGAATAATATATTAACATTTTATAATATTACGCATTTTTTTTTAATATTATATACTTATTTTATTAACCCCTTTCTTTACCTTCAGTTTTATTATAAAATTACATGCCTCTATATTAGACTAACAATTAAGAAAATTCATGTAATAATGCCTAGAATAATTTGGTACATTTATAACGTATTTTAATTACTTAAATAATTAAAGTATTACGTTCCTTATACGTTTATTGTTTATTTAACGTTATCAAACACGAGTAGGTATTTATAATTAACACATAATTATTAATTATTCATAACACGCGATTAAGTTTGATTATATTACGTATAAAAATATTTATATTTGGTTTGGTTTTTAAAATACGAATCTGATTTTAATATTTCAAGCAATTTAGTTTGAATAGTTAATTACGCTGTGATTTGGAAGCTAATGTAATTCTGTTTAGTGGCTGCTTTTATAGAATGAAATAAACATAATCAAAATTAGACGTTCAAATTAAGTTTGAACAAAATTCAACTTTATAATTTAGTTAAGGTATATACTATTTATTGACTAACTTAATCCTTACTATTATTGTAAATATGAAGGTAAATTTGTTTATTTGTTACCTTACAGCGCTTTAATCGATCTATGAAATTTGGTAGACTCTCAAGTTGGAGTAAACATATTTATAAAATTTCATTAAAATTGGTTGAGCAGTTTCGGATATTAGCGTGGCTTTTATATATTAAAATAATCACCTTATAGTTGTAAACGAAGATGTTGCTATGCCCTGGACCCATGGGGTTGTCGTTCCTGTCTCCGATAACAACAGTCAGGATGGAGACACCGGTCAACCTCGGGGTCCCCGAGTCGGTTATAGCAACTGGGATCTCGTACTGTTTCTTCTGCTCGCGATCGAAGGTCACCAGTGTTGAAAGAACATTCCCTGGGAAAACACCAAGAAAATTAATACCAAAATTCTTAAAAGGAAGGCGCCCTCTGGTAGGCCGCTTCAGTCGTGCATGAACCTCTGATATTATCTTATTGTTTATATTACTATGGTGGCAAACAAACATATGATTATAAAATGGGATTTAGACTTTGTACAAAAGTCGATTGCTTGGGTACCTCTGTCCCATTCGTGTTTCTACCGTGAAGCAGTTGTGTTCGCATGGCTGTGTTTCGGTTTGAAGGGTGGGGTATGGCGTGAATTTACTGGGTACAGAGGAATAAAACCTGAGTCCTCAGGAATGGCAACGCATGGGGGGTATCATGGGCCAAACAGTATACTCTGTTATGTCCATGGTACTGCTCATGCCTATAGGCGACGGTTACCACTTTCCATCAGGTGGACCGTCAGCTTGTTTGCCATTCTAAGTTGTATAAAAAAATGGTTACCGTAGCCTATGACACTTCATAATTACATTAATAAGAATATATTAAGGTTACTTCAGGGTCGCCAACGCGTACGTGACACACCTAGTGTTGCAGGCGTCCATAGACTACAGAGGTCGTTTACTATCAGAGGGACTGTATGCTTGTTTGACACATACGTGGTATAAAAAAAGATAACACTAGGAGCGTCGCCTGCTCATTGCCGACTCTTATTAAAACTTACTGCTACAATTACCTTATTATATATGAAAATTAAAGAGTAAGTATGTGTTTCAAACAGTAATCAAGGGTAATAAAAAACAGCTAGCTATACGCGAATAGTGATATGATAAATTTCGAATAACCCGCCGAATTTAAATAGTATCTCGAGCTATGGGCATTTTATTAATAGACTATATTACATTTTTCATGTCATAGTTTGATTACTCTGAAATTTGAACCACAAATACAGACGACAGTCGTTTGAATCATAGATTTTCAAAGATGATTACGTAGATAAATGTTTTTTTAGATATTACAATTAAAACTCCTCGATATTTACACTAACATTTTTAAAATTGGTTACTTCTCTACAGGTAGTTTAAAACGGCAATAATGGGCCGCTTTGCGCACCGCTATGGAAGCAGTAACTCACCGACACCCCCAACGTAAACTAATAATGCAGGCGGAGTTACCATCCTATTTTCGACCATTAAAAACAAAATTAGCGCCATCTATCGGCCCTGATATCAGACCTCTAAAAAATTTAAATAAGAACAGTAAAAAATTTCAAACATTAAAATTCACCTAGCGCCATCTATCGTTCACGAATGAAGGGCTTACCTAGTAAAAATAATATAAGTTAGGCGAGGTACGTAATCACAAACACGAGCACTGAATTATCAACACGACGAAGCAGGGAAAGGACTAAAATTCAATTGGCACTTCGCAAACAAAGTTAGAGTTAGGCTTGGCGCGCCATTTATTGCATGTTAACTACATTAATTGATCGAAACTCGATTTTGGGAGCTCCTAGAAATGTTCGCACTGAACAGGAACTGTTGGATTGTAGAGAAATTCACGAGCACTGTACGGAATCTTGATTATCGACAATTAGAATGTTGGTAAGTTCTTTTAAACTTCCCATTTAAAAATAATTTAAAATTATATTCAATGAAAAAACTATTTCAATTATGGCAAAACTAGATATTTTAATTTAAAAACTAAACTACTGAATCGATTTTGATAAAATTTCTACGGCACCAATTTGTAAGTATATCGTTTTAGATAAAAAACGAATTTTTCAAATCGGTTTCTAACTAATCAAGTTATAAGGTGACAAACATAAAAAAAAACATACATTCGAATGGGATAATCATGACGAAATTTAGATATATCGAGTATATATAACAAGGCTTTTATTGCTTTTAATATTATTATAACAATAAGAGGCTTGTGTCCTATTGTTTCTGCCTACCCTAATGGAAGACAGGCGTGACAGATATGTATGTAAATATGTAAAAGAAATAAAAACCTTTGGCTGTTCCAACTGCTATTACCACTGTGAGTTAAATTGACTAATTATTGTATTCATCTAGCCTGTTTTAATACGTCACACATATATATATATAGTGTATACATATATAGTGTTCCAGCATAACTAACTTAGCAAAGTCAATCACTGCCAAAATTACGTTGTTATGAATTATTCTTGCTTACTTACTACCTCTAATATTATGAGAAAGTCAACGGCTCAACGAATCATGAATTTGACACGACGGCCCTTCTTTGTGGCAAATACGACACGTCGTGTACATAGTGATGAAGGACATAGGTTACTTTTCATCCGATTAATCAATAATATCCCGTTCACGTGGACGTAACCCTGGGCACAGCTAGTCATAAATATTATTCTATGACCTCCACACTCCAACGGCAAGGCAAATCGTATAAATGAGGTCCCGGCTTTTCTAACGAAGCTTTTACTAAATTGCCTCGCCTCTGCGTGTTATAAACAGTGTCTCACTCACCTTGTATTTGGAATTTCTGTCGTATATCCATAGACGCAGAGTCGTTAAGGGCGAATTCGAAGGGCGGGCCATTCTCTGGGGAGTCGTAGTCTTTAGCGGTGAGGGTGACGATAGACCGACCTGGAGGCTCGTTTTCATACCAAATGACTGGCTGCGTCTGAAATTATACGTAAGTGTTAAAATAAAAATGTGTATTATGATGGCTATGGTACGGTTTAAGTCTATAGATGACAATTGCTGTTATCAATGAAATACAAGGTGTATTTGTTTTGCCATTATTTTTTAGTAGCATTGTAATTGCCACTAAAAATAATGACTATTATTTCCAAAGAAATGTAAGCACTATCTTGTAAAAAGTATTGAACTAATGTTAAAAAAAAAAAATATTGGATATAATTATAATTTTCATACAGATAAAAGGAAGGCTATTGTTAGTAACAGTAACTTATAGCTCTATTGGACCAAGCGACTTCATCCTCAACTATCACCTTTTATAGGTTTCCAGTTGTCATCGTAGACGGGCAGACAAAATCTCCATTTGATTGGCATGTTTTTAAAACTTAATTTGCAAGAGAAAATCATCGGAGTTATCGTACAAATTAGATAGATTTTATAAACGTTGTAAAATTTTTTTAAGTTGGTAACATGAACTGTAAACTGGAAGTGCAGTGAGCAAATTATTTTTAACTAAATAAATAAAAAAAAAAAACAACTAAAATGTTCTACAAAATTGGTAAAAGTTTTTAAATTGTTGTCCCTTTTAAGAGTCAGATCAGAGACCGTATTGGAACTGCGTTTTACTTCGTGAGACATTATCTAGTTAGAATTAATTATTAAAGTTTGGTTCATTCAATTCAGGCGTTAAGTTTGTTGAACGAGTTCCTATGCAATGGCGGTGTTTAGGGGTTTTGGGAATCTGGATATGCTCATTGACTTTGGAATCTGGCTATACCTATCCATGGAATTCTACTACATTCGATTATCTTCGTTGTATAGTGGTGGACATGTTTCTTTGCGTAAATGAGTGTTTTGGGTTATGGCCTCAGAGGTTCATTGAATCCTCATAAAACCTAGAAGAGTATCTTACTTTGAAAATCAGGCAATTGGGGATATAATTATTATTACTACTGTCAACAAAATCTGTTTTAATTTGTAATTAAGTACATTTAACCTTTCTAAACCACGCATGCCATCCTCGGTTTCTTCCTTATTTTGTATCCACATTCCGAGTAAACTTAATTAGATTACAATATAACCGAGTCAATATATGAAAATAAAAGGTTTTTTAATGTTCAAAGAATCTTAAACAACACAAATAACTCAAGAGGCTGCGGATTAATTATTATATCTATGAAACGGTTAAGAAAAAATGTATACAAATACGTTCAGAACATATTTATGATATAATGAAATTATAGTGTCAAATTACTCACTAGAATGTCAGGATTATCGCTTACAAGCTTTTTATTTCTCGAAGACGCCATCAGGAGCATACAGTACGCTCGATTCAGTACACTAGTTCATATCATAATAATTCATATTCAATATAGATTCACATCCGTTAAATAATTAAAATAATACATACATATCTTCCTATTTTCTAATTAACTACAACTATCTTAATTATATAATAGAAAAATATATTAAAATTAGCACGAATCCGATCTAACGATCAGACCCAATCGATATGCAATTGAGCGGTTGATTTTCATGATAAAAACAGCAGAAACGTTATCTACACAGACATTATCTCAATGTTTTCTCCGAGGGAAAGCTTTTAGGAAATTCGAGATGGAAATTAAGCTACCCGTCCGATTCAAGGTCCAGGGGTTCAGGGATGGCTCTAAAATAAGAAATTGAATGCCCATAAGTAGGTGATTTGCATGAAAAATTGACAATTGGGTATACCCAAGACGATGGCAGCTACAGGTAAAGATATCCTTTAAAATATATGCTAATGTACTTACTAAGCATAATAAATGGGAGAGTTCTTTGTACGCGTGTTTTTGGAGGAATTGTAAATTCGACACGTTAAGTGCAATTTTGGATAGATTTAAAAGCAGCGCCACCCACAATAATGGAATGACGGTATCTATATTATCACGCCATTCCCTTGTGGGGTAGGCAATGTATAAAAGTATCTGATAAAATAATTAAAAATCTTTAATGAAACTGTAAGATGAAAAGATAACCAGCACAGATACTATATGGTAGAAGTCGAACGCTCATAATTAGAGTGAGACTTCCTAAACGTGACACGAAATTTCTCAGTGATAATACTATAAACAAATAGATTTTTTTCTATAAAAAATAGCTAATTTAACGGTAAAGGAGTTAAAATTTACTCGTAATTCATTTTTATTAACCAACTCAAAAGAAAGAGGGTCTACGTTTTTATAACTAGTAATACTATTCTATAAACATACGCATTTTAAATGTATGTATTTACATTTAAAATATTAGAATCCGCTCCGCAAAGAGAAGCAATTTGCTACGCAAAAAAGGTACATAAATGATATGAAAACACGCAGTAATAGATTGCATAATAAATAAAAAATCTGTTTAAAATTCTCCACATATTCATATAATACCACAAAAAATCGCTAAGATGGCTACTCGCCGAAGGTTCCGTATATGAGATAAAACGACCTTACGTACAAACATATTTATTGTAGTTATATAAAATAGACACTATATAGTGATTTCAAAAATTGAATCGCAAAATTAAGTTGGTTTATGAATGGTTTTTTTTTTATAATTTCATTATTGTTAATGTACCTAATGTATATATTTTTATAAATTATTTCAAATTTTTCGCTTTACCAACTTCGAAGATAAGGGTGGGGGGGGGGGGGGGGGGGGTGAAGGGGGTATCTTATTCATATATTCGATCATAAGTCAAAAAGTACACAACAATTTAAAACAGACTTCAGAATGTACCAATAAAGTTCTATCACATGATACCCCAAAAATATATATATATTTTTAATTATTTCTAATCGATTTAGTAGTTTTGAGTTATAACGCTGTGACAGACGAACCAATGGAAGAACAAAGTCGCAAGATTCCTTTGTATTATTCTAGTACAGATCCCTAATTATCTCTTTCGTGTCTCTTAAGAAAACTATAATTAGACTTATTATTTTTATTCTAAGAAACCTAGCATCAGTTCAACAATGTATTTACTATCTAGCTTAAACTGAAACACACAACAATCTTGTTTAGTTTTGTTATCTGTCGGACAAACTTCCTTAATAGCAAAAGGGATTTCCGATATAATGTACTTTGAAAACATAAACTCCAAACTTCGTACATAACACAGAGGAATATGACAAAACACGTAGAACGTAGGGAACAATTTTGACACATAAATAACCACGTCCAAAACAAGTGTTCACTTCGATACTCGTACCCTTGTCACAGGGATTTTCAATGACAGACAGACATACAATATGAAAATAATGTACGATAAAGAGTATTTATTCATGACAGTATATTCTAGTAAATATAATTTTGTAGGTAACCTATTTTGATATAAGGATTATAACGCCGAGAAATATTCATTGAATGCAGAACCTGTAAAATAATCATCCATCTATATCCGCCGTTAATTATCCACTACTGAACACAGGCTTCCCCCATAAGGGCAGGTTTAGCGACTAGTTGCCACGCTTGGCAAGCGTGTTGGCAACCGCAGTTAGGCTTTGGTGATGTTTTAAGGAACTTTTTTTTTTACAACACAGGGGGCAAACAAGCGTGCGGCTCACCTGATGGTAAGTGACTACCGCCGCCCATGATCACCGACAACACCAGCGGCATTGCAGGTGTGCTGCCGGCCTTTTAAAAAGGAATATACTCTTTTCTTGAAGGTTATGTTGTCGTATCGGTTCGATGCTGCCCATCCCTCGATCATTAAATACCCTTAGTCGCCTCTTACGACGCTCAATTGGTGACCAATTCTATTCCCGGACCAAAGATCTTTGTGTACAATAAAGATGTCATAGCATGTATTAATACTAGAGTATGCTACACTCACAGTGCTGTTTTATTACTTTCTGATGCTTAGAAAGTATTCCATAATCTTATTACCGATATAATAATGTGAATTTCACCGGAATGTGTACGGTATCTAATTTGCCGACTACCATAATGGGGATGTGACATCATTGACTGAATAAACGCTGACAAGCGCAGCGGATGTAACGAACCAGCGCCCAAATGATTCCGTGAAGCTAGATAGCTCTCTTAATCCCGATTTTATATAGGGTTGCCACTTACAAGTTTGATGATACATAATTTAAGCAAAAACCCTCCAATTTCCGATCTTATCTCGATAGGAGGTCATCTGGAGGTCTCGGTTAGGGTCGGCAAACGACGGCTAGTAAACGTTCTATATTTTGTTAATACCGAGACTAGAGCGTGTTATAGCATAGTGAACATTATTTTTTTAAATGTTCCAGATTTTTATTATTTTTGCAAACATGAATACTTAGCTATTTACCATTAACGATTGCCAGGCACTGTTAAAAAATCTTGATTTTAAAAGATTTAATTAAATTCTTTAATATAGTGATAATAACAAAAGACTAAATGAATCAAGTTTTATAGAACATTAGTTGTTTATCGTACCTTCACTGAGCAGAATTATATCCAAACGTTATAAACCTAAATAGAACCTAAATATTCAAAATTTTAAGTTTCTAAACGAATTAGACTTTACAATGATAGATCAGTTAGTCTGGACAAATATTTTTTTATGTATACACTAAAAAAAGTCTTACAGTTTATATTTGTTAAGATGTTACTACAAGTACATTTTATATATATATTACATATGGCAATTGACAACCCTAAACAACCGAAGTTCATCCGAGTGGATACCAGAATTTGAAATAAGCTGGTCCGTAATACGGAAAGACCCTCACTGCGGCGCGAATTTTGATGCACAGATAAACGTATACTTAATGTTAACCACAGTTTGGTCAATCGATCGTTAGGATTTCATTATAAAAAAAAAAAAAGTGAAGAGCATGGCCGACTGAGCTTATCGAAAATTATGTCGCCGTACAAAGAGGTTTATGTTATTTGCTTGATACACTGTTATTATCCAATTAAATAATATCTTTAATAAGATAGATTACAGCTACAAAGATTATAAAAGAAAACATAAATAGATCTTACAAAAAAAAGAAACATAAAGACCTGTAGTATACCGTCGTCTGGATTATCTAGTTTTAATTAAATACCTATATAGAATATTCTCAATGTATTAGATTCTTTTGTGGTTTACACTAATATCAAACTAAAACAGAATGGATTTTGAAAATTTTTGCAGTCGATAGAGTTCACCTTCGTATTTATCTCACATTAATTTTGTGACAATTGGAGCGGTCATTTTACTTTACTAAACAAAAAAAAGTTATTGAGAAACAAAATGTGATTTGACTATCTCAAATATTTTATATTTGTGTCTATAAACATGTGTTCGTTAATCTTTTCTTTTATGCACGTAATTAAAGTATTTTTTACGAAGCAAAATGTACTTACATAAGTGTTACAATTCTGTCAATACCAAATATATATTCTGTGGTATAACGATCTTTGATTAACAATAGGTACTACTTGGCGCCTAGGATCTAGGCAATTTCAAAATTCCATCAAGTACCAACAATGAATACTATCGACTCAATTTAAGTACTATATATTAATTATAAAAGCATAGAAACATAATATCAAGTAGCAAATGAAGGGAAAATGGGCTGGCGCCATACTTATATTTTGTAGCACTTTCGAGACGTTCTCATAAAAGTCTGTAGGTGTATTACACGTACTGAAACCCTCTGGTCCCGCAAAAAGGTTTACCCCTGATGGCTCCATTGAAATTTATCGATAGCAATTCTTTTAAAATGGTCTATAAAGCGGCCCGAATGATTCTTACAAGGTGAAATTGCATGTTCTTTAACGAGCAAAGGTAAAAGGTAGATTGAAAAGGGAATTAATGACTGTATCAAACGAAATAAAAATAAATAGGAAGACAGTAAAAGAAATCCGTGATTTGGAAAGGGCGTTCGAGTTTGTACTGTGTATTGTTTCGTTTGTAGACATCAGCTACGATATCTACATTCAGGAATGTTCGAATTGAAACAAGTACTTCTTTTAGCACAAGTACTTCCGTAAATGCTATTGATACGTTTTATTTAAACGTTTGGATAATTAAATAGTCGAATTGTAGGATTGCCTATTCTGTAATCACCAAGATTATATAAAAATTTCTTAAAACAATATTTTATTTATAATATTCTATGCAATAAAACATCATTATGGAGTTTTTCAAAAAAGATACATTAAGGTTTCTTTAGAGTCGGTAACGCGGGTATCAGACAGGCTGTATGATCGTTTGCGACCTTTGTGGTATAAAAAAATCAGGTTTCTAAAGAGAAAGAAGACAGAACATTTTGCCAATTGCCATTAATTAGCATATCTCTTGATTTGTCATACATGCAATCCAGTTCTAATGACTAATATAAAAGTGGTAGTGTATATGAATGATCCAATTGTGACCAACACTATTCAACGTGATTAAACATAAAAAAAGAAATTACTAAGTCAGAAACTAATATATTGTAATATTATCATAATTACTATACTTGAACAGAATGAATTACAAAGCCAAATTTCCCGTAACTCTATCAAGATCGATAAAAAAATTTTCAACCTCAAAAAACTTACATAATACTAATCGTTTCTGCTCCACTTTATAAACTCAAATTTGCTGAATATATTAAAATCCCTTTGATAAAAAGCCTTTGCTACGGAAGGATGTGGAACAAGGTTCAAGGGCAATAGCTCCCTTAGGAGTTATTCCGTGGAAGGAAGGGATTATATTATGCGTACATCAAAATATTCACGTCTGAACATAGGGCAGAAATCGTTGGCTAGTTTTACGAGGATACACGGCCACTAGAACGATTTAGAATGATTTATATGGATTTTATTTCCATACTCGAAGTATTCGAACGGAATATTTTTGTTATTGCTTTGCTATTTCTCTACGGATGTTGGAAATTCTTAATTTGAAAGAGATCCAGAATTATTAAATAATAACGTTACATTTATTGCATTTAATTGAGATGAGAGTTTATCACTGATTTGTTTGACTAATTCATGAATAAGTTATAACAAAATAAAAAGACTGTATAACAGATTCGCGTACATGGTTCTCAAATAATAATATTTAACGTTATATTATTTTGAAAATTACTTAATGGTGTATCGTTTTTACAAAGTCAGACAACTGGATTGATTATAGTTAAAATTATCAATGGATCCTCACTTTATCCATTGTATTACAGAACATTATATATAGAAGAAATTTATTCATTTTACTGAATATCAAAAAAGTACTTACATTCGTAAGGAAAGGTGCATTATCATTGATGTCTGTGAGCTCCAATATAACTTCAGTTGCGGTTTTCAAGCTGTCAGGCCTTCCTCCATGGTCAGCAGCTGTTACCAAGATCTGCCATCGTGTAAAACCGGATGGCTGGTCTCGATCTAATGGCTTCAACAGCCGCAAACAACCATCGTTGTCAATTTGTAGAAACTCTTTTTGCTCTTCGTTGACCAGAGAATAAACTATATTTTGGGGTGCATTACGGTCCTTGATATCAGGATCGTAGACTTCCACCTAGAGAACAAAGACATTTATGAACAAACTTCGTAGGTATGAAACATACTGTTTATTTACTATGATTAGTTATTTTTAAACGCTTTAAATAAGAACTTGTATATTTCTTCATTGTAATTTAAAATTATTCTATATATCATCTGGATATGTTTATTTAAGTAATGTTTTTTCTACTAATCTCTTTATGCCAGATCTGAATTAATTTATATAAAATTCATAACTCTCAATTTATTAATTATTTTTAATCTTTATGTGTAAAAAGACGCACTTTTTTCTGTTTTTAACCTTCAATTGAAAATTTATGTTCATTTTGTAATAAAATATGCCTTTCCACTACTCGGAATCATTGATTACTTTATTATTTAATCTTACCTTCACAATACATCCTTCATATAGTTTTTCTTCTTCAATAGTTTTAGTATAGTTCGCTAAGAAGACAGGGGGATTATCGTTTACGTTTTCAATATTAATTATGACTTTCGCATAGTCTTCGTAAAGACCATCAAAAGCACGAACATCCAAACTGTAACTAGTAATATTTTCGTAATCTAATTCATTGTTGACTCGAATTTCACCAGTAAAATTACGAATGACAAACGCGTCGTATGTATTGCCAGCCACAATGCTGTAACTAATCACGGATGCTGTAAAAAATAAAAATAATCTTAAATTACATATAACGAAATAAAAAATTTCTATAATTAATATCAACAATTATTATTTATTATTATATTAATAGTTTATTCTAAGGTTTTTTTTATTAAATTTACTTTTTATTTATATATTTACATATGGCGTTCTTAACACCGGACGGTGTTAAGTCCACCATAAAGTTATATAATTTTTTATTGGTGCGATTTAGTTAGTTTTATTTATATATAACAGGATGTAACATAATATTGAAGATGATATTTTTGTAAAGAAAAATTGCAAAAAATATGAAGCAATCTGTAAATAAACCTTACATTTCTTTCATCCGAAATTTATACAATTCATAATTTACTAATAATCTGATAAATTATTAACAATATGGTGTATGCACTTTACCTGTATCGATATCAACGGCTTTGACTACAGTGACAAGTTCGTTTGTATTAGCGTTTTCAGCTATTGACTCCGCAACATATGTATCCTTTTGAAAATGTGGAGGATTATCATTTTTATCGGCAATTTCAATCAAGAACGATTGCTGACCAATATTATGTTTGCCAGGGATAAGAGCTGATTCAGAATTATCAGTTGCTAATATCTTGATATTGTAAGAACTTTTTTCTTCTCTATCAAACATTTTCTGCGTTGTAATATTGCCAGTGATAGGATCTATAAGAAATGGATCAGAAGGATCTCCTAATTGATAAGTAATTTGGTTATTAGCTGCCGTTCCATCAGCGTCGAATGCTCGAACTTGCATCACTGGCGTACCCGGTGGTTCGTTTTCTAAGACACTTCCTGATCTAATTTCACTGAATATGGGAATGTTGTCATTGACGTCTTCGACTTCAATTTGAATTATGGTTTCTGCTGCTAATTTATAGTTATTCTGAAAACAAAAGAACGATAGTATTATTTGATTTATACAGACAAAAGAAAACAATTATATTTAAAAAATAAAAAAAATAATTTTCTTCAACTTACCTGTATTCTAACAGTCAGTGTATAATCTGTGATTTTCTCATAATCTAAATGATTACCAAGTTTGATGTACGCTGTGTTTGCTTCAGGTTCTAATACAAAAGTGTGTCTTTTATTTGTCTGTTCTGTTTGACCCATCACTAATTCGAATTGTAACTTTTCTTCCTCAGGTATATTGGAACTGTAAATTAAATTTATTCATTTAAGTTATAGCATAATGTTTATGTAACGGGGCCAATATAATCATAAATTTATATCAAGATTATAATTAAAAATATTTCCTGTTGTTCTTTATTATATATCAGTCAGAACAAATAAAACTTTACTTTACTTTTTAAGTATCTTTCATCAACAGTGAGAAATAATTATAATTTAGTTAATAAAAGCTTAGAAAATGTCCTCGCCGAGAAGCATAAAATTGGGTCATGAAATTTAATAACAGAGTTAACAACTCAAAGCATCTTACTTTACTAATTTCTAGTTCATTTAATTTTAAGAGAAAAGTTATACTTACATAGCTCTAACTGTAGCGATAGGCGTTTTGAAATCGGCGTAATTTTCTTTTAATCTAATCGGTTCATCGGGAACTTCTATGAAAGACGGACTTTTCTTGTTAGATTCCACGACTTGAATATCTAAAGTTATTGAGCTCTGTTGGGGTTGATCGCCCATATCTTTCACTATCGCGCTTAACTTAAATTTGTAACCGGGCACTTTCTGCAAGGGACGGAAAGGTAAATTAGTTGATTTTATAAAACTGTAACAACTGTAATATCAATAAAATAAAAATAAAAAATACTGAATAACACTTAAAAAAATATATATTTTATACTTACATCAATAGATTTGTTTAAAAAAATTACTCCATTATCAGGATCTATGTAAAAGTATGATTGGTCAGGTGAGTTGGAGTCCAAACTGTAGTGGACTATGGAGTTATTCCCATCGTCAATGTCAGTAGCTGATATCCTCATGACCTCACGACCGCTTGGTAAATCTTGAGGTACTGACTCCATATATGACTGTACAATAAAACAAAAGTTACATATGATATACTTAAAGTAACTTACTTACAGTGTTCAGTGTTAAACTTGAGAATAAAACTAAGTAAAAGTATATTATTCATAAATTTCTCCTGAAATTGGAAGACCTATTCACAAAATTATTCTCCAAAATAGAAAATACTGTAAGTTAACTATTAAAGAAAATGAAAATTCTATAGTTGTGTTTTAAATTTAGTGTTTCTTTATTATATATGCGAGAATTCAACGTTGAATCGTGTAAATAATATGTGTATTCTATTAAAATTGCACTCAAAATCTCTTCAACGTCCTACGCGAAGCATGCCCGAAGCTTAGAGAAAGTATTTTTCCAAAATAATAATAATCGTGCATCGTGATAAAATGCGCCTAGGGGGAAAGAGCAGCCTAGCTAAAGAAAACACACTTACTACAAATGTGCAAAGAAAGTGAATTTTAAAACACTAGAACACATAAAATTATTACCAATAACGCCTTGAGTGGCGGCTTACGATCCTAAATCAATCATGCAGCAACATGCAAGTAGAAAAATAGAAAATTCAAATAGATCTCACGATTCGATTGTTACCACATTGAAAATTTGCATTTTAAGAACGTGATATTTCAAGATAAAAAAAAAGCCGCAGTGGTAACGACCGAGGAAATACAAGATGAAGTGACAAGTTTTAAATATTTGTGCGCAACTCTCTCTTTCTGTGAAACTCTTTTAGACAAACCTTCCAAACATCCCCTCGGAAGACCTTCGGAAAACATGTAAGGGTTTATTCAGTACGTTAATACATATTCATGAATTATAAGAAACAAGAAATCGTAGACATTTAATACACTTATTTTATATTCAGAGTAATAATATAAATATCTTCAGAATATTAAAGTTCATCCATGTAAGACCTTTAAAACAACTAAGTCAATTAAAGATTAGATATAAAAATTATGGACAGAGAGTTTGCTTATTTTTATAAATAACTAGTGTTACTGAAAATTTCTGAGTATTTTTTTAATGTTACTAAAATAGTTAACGTTCGATGTTAGGTACAAATTTCAGATTATACATTTACATAAAAATGTACATGATATTAAGATTCGCAAGATAGATCCTTAGAAAAAATACAATGCTCAAAGTTATACTTACAACTTTGTCGAACACCGGCTGATTGTCATTAATGTCCTCAATTAATATTTTAATTGTGCAAGCGTCATCTAAATGTGGCTGGCCGTTGTCACTCGCTCTTACTGTAATGTATGCTTCTTTTTCTCTCGAAGGTTCGTCATGGTCGAAAACCTGTTAAAATTTTAGGAACTATTTGACAATTTTCAAAATGGCTAACTATGTTAAGTGCACATACCTTTACGTCCCTTTTAAGACCTAAAAGATGGCTGACTGATATATTTGTAGAAGCAAATTACATGATAGATCTTATTTTAGTTCTGCTGTGTGAAAAATGCACGCAGACAAAGTGACAATAGGAATCCATGGAATACGACGATAATAAAAAGTAATAAATTTAAAAATATTTAACAAAATCAATCAATTTATAAGTAATTAACATATACATAAAGGTAGTTATGTTTTTCTTGTATTAGTATCTAGTTTTATTAAAATTTGTTATTGTTAACATTTTTGCTTATAAGAAATGTCAAAAGGGTATATATACCTACTTATTTTCTACCGTCCGTCGCCGATAAGGTGACGAAATTTAACATAAGCTTATTATAAACTTATTTTAACATAAGCTACTCCTCAGTCACTAAACCGATTCGTCTTTAATATATGTATATGAACGAAATATTGGTGTTTCTGAAGCACTATTTTTTATCTCTATCCTCACACCAAGATTATTGCAGGATAGGCAGAGAACATCGACCCTACATCGCTTGCTTCATCCACTTACATAAAGCATCCAAGTATGCACTTCATTTCCGAAGAATATTGACTCCTCCATCCAACAAAACATTCTTGATAGTGTTATCTCAATAGTTTGATATAATAATTGGAACGGATTTTAATCGTATCAATTCTGGTTACCGGATTGCTATTAAAGTTTATTTCCTTTTTTTTTTTCAAAGAAGGAATTGTAGAATTTAAGGATTACTTCTAATTAAATAAAAGTAACAATATAAACGATTATACTAACATCTGCCGTTGTAATCCTGCCGCTGACCGGATCCACGTGAAACCGCTCCTTCTCTCCAGGAGTCGTAACAAATTGGTATGTGACTGTGCCGCCCATCTCGGGTGGATCTCGATCTTCAGCGTGGACCTGAAATTTCGTTTATTTGATAAATCACAATAAACATTAAACATTGACGTATGAAATATAACACTTTCATTAGTAGCTGTATCCTGCGGCTTCGCCTGTGGTTATATTGTAATATTGAACAGTCCATATTACCTACTATTAATAGAGGAGCTATCAAATGCAAAAATAATTTACAAATCCGACTGGTAGTTACAAACATTAGCGCATTCAAACAAACTCTTGCGCTTTACACATTAGTATAAATTATAATAACCCAATAACGTCCTCTTTGAGGTCTGTACTCTATTTATGTATCTGTGTGAAAAGTGAAATGGAAAGAACTCCATAAAACGGTATCCTAGAGAGAGGACTAGGCCCACTGTACGATTTTACTAAACTGGTTATTATCACATTCTGTTTTAGAAAGTTATTTAAGGGAGAGCAAAAAGAACCTAGTACTAAAGGCTTTTCTGATCTAAAAACAGATCAAAAAGTCCTTGGTGCACGAAGTGCTTTATTTACTTATTATTTTTAATCCGCGGCTTTGGCTGCATGGACTAGTATATCAAATTTAGTTTACATTCAAATGTGTTCAATTGTTTTACCCAATGTAACAGATAATCTAACTTTCACATTTATAAGAGTGCTAGTAAGAGTAATAAAATAGTAGAAATAATAATTAGTAAAAAATTATTTCTTGTAAGATAACTACCTTTTTGCTCTCTAGTTTGTGTGCTTGAATTTTAGAAATAAAAAAAAAAAAAACAATAAAATATGCCACTTCCAGATGGCATATCAAAACAAAACACCATTTTCAAGTTGGACCTTCAAGCACACAACTGTGGAAATCGCGTCCAATTTGATGCAGTAATTTTAGTGTGACAATAGAACAAACATACAGATAAATAATTCTTAAATATATAAATTTTTCTCAAAAGACTTCCAAGAGACGTTGTCTAGTTATTATTACATTATTAGTAAAAAGTAAGATATCTCACCGTGAATACATAGGTCCCGACAGGCTGCTCCTCCTTAACGGACGGCCTATAGTTCAAGCACTCCGTGAATAGAGGCTTATGGTTGTCCTTCACTGCCAGCTTCGGTGTGTGCGCCGGTACAAACTGTGAACGTATCGTGTCGTGCCGCAACGTCAATATTAAATACATACCTGTGTATATAAGAATAAGGGTGCCTACCCTTACTTTTGTTTATTATGAAGTAGTTATATATTTAAATAAACAAGAGTAAAGGTAGGTATGCGCGCTCCATCTTAGACCTTATCGTCACTTACCATCAGGTGAGGCAAGATCAAGCGCGAACCCATCTTGAAATAAAAAAATAGTCGAAAAAGTAAACGAATCATAACATCGTATTTCAAACATCATATCGTGAAAGTATAGATGTTTCATACACGTTTTGATACATGAATAAAACATAAATTCCACTAAAATAGATATGTGGCAAACACAACATGTTGTGGGATAAAAGTTATTTTGGTGCAACCATTCACTTTAATTTCTACTATTTTTGTTATGTACAATTTCACATTTTAATATTTTTTTTAATTGTTCTATTTCAAAAACTGTTATGATTCTCTTACTTTAAATTAAAATATATTTAAATAATATAGTTATAATTTTACCTTTAATTATAACAGTCATTTAAATATATTAAATAAGTGTAAGTTTAATTTTTAATTCAAATTATATTGTAATTAAAATAATTAATATAAAATTAATTATTTAAATTACAGTAAATTCAAAATTTAAATTAAAAAAAATAGTTACAATAGCGAATATAATAAGTCTTATTTCTTATACTGCATATCAGCTTTTGTCTCAACCACTCAATATAATAAATGATTATGTATGTAAGAACATACCATTTCAAAATTAAAGAAATATACAGAGGCAAAAGCATCATGTAGTTTTTAATTACTTCATAATTTAAGATAACTTATTTATAATAAATAAATTACACATCAATAATTATTAATATCATTATAAGCATATTATAAAAGATATTTACATGACAATATAATATAAAGTATACCTTTTCCCGAGTTACTATAAAAAGTGTCAGCAGAAGATGAGCAGTGGAGTTATTTAATATATACAATAATACTCACATTAATCCATCGAAGCTTGTGTAATTAATTATAATGGCAAATACTATACATACAATTGTATAAAAGTAGATTACTGAACATGCGACACGTCTATCATATAAAATAAATAAGCGTTAAATTAATTAAAAGAACTATGGGGATCAAGCTTCTTTGGGCGGATTTAGTGGGTACAGATGAAATTGGATGGCTTTATTGATGAAATAGGATACTCACGGCGGCTGGATGCATAGGAAGATACCCATCCAAGTGTCTTGAGTGTCGTAACCTCGTGACATGATGTGACCCGTAAGTGTAATCTCGAGCTGTAAGAAAATAAAACAATATGTCAAAAAATAAAATAATTTCCTATGATTTCAGAAACAAAAATAAGTAGCAAAGGTCTTCGTATGCGATGGACAGACGATCTCGACCGGTTCCAATGCCTGATACAAGCAGTTCAGCGGCATTTGCCTAGCAGTGGAGTCATGATTATTGATATAAATTTAGGAGCATATAATTATTTTATTTACAATATAAATTGATTTTAAAATCAGTGTAAATCTTATATTTTTCATAGATAATAATGAAAATTAAATATTAAGTAACTAATTTACTGATTTCGGGGAAGAATTTTATTAGAAACAATACAGCTCTATACACTATGCTGTTTTTAAAGATTATTTTGATATTATCTTTACAATGATCATAAATATATATAGTATCCAAATAAATTGGTAAATTTTAATTGATGCAAGAGTTTATGGTAACTACCAAAAAAAAAAAAAAAACATATAAACAATATATAAAAATATTCCCTGTTTCTATTGAAAATTAAAACTACTTTAATTATACGGTTTTTTTTTTTGTTACTTTCTTAAGTAAAATAGCTATAAATTTTTGATTTGATTTAAAACTTTGATGTTATGAATTAAATTATTAATCGTCACCAAAATTACTATCTAGACTTATCTCTACCTAATATTATTATAGACTACATTTGCTTACAGAGAAATCGATTCCGAGCACATGTAATAGACTCCCAATTTTCACATAGTCACAATCACTTATGCTTTCATAACAATATTATTATCTCACAATATTATCACCACATCTCAGAGTCACTCGTTATTATAAGTTGGTATATCCAGATAAACCGGCATATAATAATATTAGTCATCTCGGATTATACAGCGACTCATGTTTACGTACCAATTAACTCGGTTCAGCACTCTCAAGATAACTCTAGATAACATTAAGCCGCTTCGCACATTGCACTACAATGAGAGCCTAATATTTGTATTATAACGTGCAAACAATACCATTATAAGTAACACCATCCTCCGTAATTACATACAACCTCATAAATTAAGAAACTCTTAATTAAAAGTGACATTCAGAAATATTTTATGCATGTATAATAAAGTAAACATGATTGAAACTAAATTTGTGGAAATTACATAAAATAAAATACACTATTCAACCTTATTAAAGCAATTTAGTTTAATAATATGTTATTTCAAAAAAAAATATAGTTTCAACGATTTAAAAATGTTTACCACATGAATTTAACGTTATTAAATGAACGTAATAATGGCAAACAATTTAATCCTATTAAAAATAGTGTATTTTTAGTTCATTTCATAAAGTAAGAAATATATTTTTCCGTTGGTAATTGCAAACATTATATTTAAATTCTTGAAACATCAATCAACTTTAACTATTATATACATAGTAATTGCTATGACATTTATACAACGATTAAATATTTTTTTAAATTATTTTAATGCATCACCCACTATTTGGGATTTTAAATTAATAATAATAATAAAAAAATATTCATAATCTAGATATGCTCGTATAGACAAGAACAATATTTCTAGTTTTAATACCAATCGCACTTGCGATGAAGGAGCATAAATCTATTCGCGTGATCCATCTAGTCTAGATGCATGAGATGCAAAATTGATTTTGTTATATATAACTGCATCAGACAAGGTTTTCTTTCTACCTATTTACCTAGATATGTCTTACGAAGTAAAAATGGCTTATAATACTGGTCTCTAGATAGTTTAATCAAGCATGTATATTTTAGTTCGAGTCAAGCATGATTGGCTCGAGACCTAAAACAAGCTTGCTATCTATTTGGCAACCGCTTGATATGAAATTATATTTTTTCTTCTTAACTTTGCGAGCAGATGAAATTTCTGAATTAATCAGATGTTCTATTCAATTCAATTACTTCTATTTTTTAGAGGATATTCATTCACTTTAACCCTTAAATACCTGATGTTTCAAATTTGATACCGGCGTTATAAATCGCATTGGGCACCTACAATCAATTTTATTTTAATATTTGGCTGTTTACATGTTACCAAATGTTTTTTTTTTTAAATAAATATATAACAATATCGTTTTAATTTTTTTTTTTTGCTATTTTTCCCTATTAGTAAACACAGTATAGGGTACATTTATATATTTATAATTTGATTTAAGAAATCAGGCTTTTAAGGGTTATTTTATTTCAGTTATTGTTATTTTTTTTTAAATGAAAAAAAAAAACTTTTAATTCTAGACGTGACGTGACTAACCCATTTCTTTCTTACTCAGCCGGACGAGTCTCGAGCATTTTATTGCCGGGTAGCATAATGTACGAAGCGAGCCTGCACGCTATATTTCATTTTAGTCAGCTTGCTATGCAAGAGACAAGACTATGCAATTTTCAACTTAATTAAATTACATTCTGTCCCTGGATATTGGAATACTTGACCATTGTAACTAAAACTGCAAATGCGATGTTGGTGCTAGTGGCAGTAACAAATAACTAAACACCTAATTGCAATTAATTATAGATTATTTGAACAGTTTGACAAGTTTTTGTGGTCCAATTCTGCTAATATCATAAATTTAAGTTACTAAAGATATTTGGATGTTTTAATATCCGTTACTCAACAACAAATATGTGAACTGAATGGATTTGAATAAAATTTAAAACACAGGTAGATTATATCCCAACTTAACGCTTAATAATAATAATTGATTAGCATAAATATGGTTGAAATAGATCTTAATGTTACAGAATCACATATTTATCAACATTAATACATTAATATAATGGCGTAATGGCAAAATGTAAAATCTTATTTACGTGAATATATTTTATTTAATTCCAAATCTTACAGTAACAATATTTATTTTAATTACATTATATATATAGGATACTTTGTTATTACTTGAATCAGTGTATAAAGTTTTTGCGTAGGTAAGGTTACCATTCCATTGTCATTCATAAAAAAAAATGCATACATATTATACATAACATATACACTACAATATACAATATCAACCCATAAGAAATCTTTTGTAAAAATAAGACTTAGCAAATGAAGATTTTGAAATTTCCCAATCAATCAATATGTAATGATATTTCGCTATTGAATTAGATTACCGTTGATAACATTTCACAAGTCGGCGACAATGGGCGTTCGATCAAGTACCCTTTCAATTATTTATAACAAATTTGGAACGGGATGAAATGGATTTTCCGCCGAGTTATGGCGAATGATTTGATAATTGATTGATTTGAATGCTCAGCTATACTTTCGAAAGTCCATTAGATTTAATTATGCGGTTGAAACAGCTGGAATATTGTATTGATCTGATATTATATTTTTATTATTAAATACAAATAACTTTATTTTGTTTGAAAAATGGTATAAAAGATGGTATATAATATTTAAATATTGTTCACATTTTTCACCAGAATCTGGCATAAAAAAATTATTTAATTGTGCCACTATACTATGCTAATACTATTTTACTTAAATCGTCATATTATATAAATGTCAATATATTTATGTATTAATATTTTTTTAAGATTATTATATTATTCTATAGATTAGGTATTCATGATCAATCATAAAAACGAAACTGAGAACATAATGATACATATTCGCCTGTTAATCATTTTCCTAGTTTTCATTTCAGCGGACAACCACTCGAGCCAAAAAAATCTCATCCATTGCCTCATATCCCAGCTCTCATTCAAACAAATCCTCGCCGCACACCAAATAACATCAATGTACTCAATAAATTTAATTAAACAAGAACAACTAAGAAGGCACCTCGTCATCCTTATTAAATAGCGAGATACCCCACAAAATTAGGTCTCTAAATTAGTACTAAACAAAACATTAATTACAGTACTAATGAGTACTATAATTGTTTTTTTTTTCTTTTAATTCTATCACTAATCATGAACCTGCATAAAATTACTAAAAACTAAGATTTATTTTTAACTACATCTAATATCTATATCTCTGAATTTATCAGTGTGTTTTATGCGTTTTCTAATAAGGATAGTGAGTTTGCTATACGTCATTAATTTCAAAGTTGTTAATGTTTGTACAATAAAATGTTACTGAGGCATAATCTAAGATCATTTTTCCTTTCAACCCTATATTTAAAACTTAAAATATAGATACATATGATCATATGATATAGTACTCCCATATGCTCTATATCTCTGCTTTGTTATTGTATGCAACTGTGATTCGACTTAAGCCGTCACCACTTAGTACAAATGCGAACCATCAGCTGTGAACTCGGCTACTGATCTTATATTCAGGTGTGTGATATCAAAGACATGTATTGTACAAAATCACAGAGTAAGCTCGAAACACTAACATCCTTTGTCAGAAAGACGCCGAGCGGAGTCGATCTAGGATTGTTCATGTTTCATCTCACAGCCGGAATACCTTTGTTGTGGGTTCAGCGACAGAATATAATTCCTATGTTTGTAGTGTAGCAGTGGTATTGGCAGTAACCATTGCTTTGCGTAAATAGTATAAAATCTTACTGGAAAGAAAGAACAGTTGAATAAGACCCCAAATTTGAATCTCCATTAAATCAGCTTCATAAAGTAAATAACAAACTACTTTAAACTGGCTTCGATGTATTTTGATCTCAACGAATGGCAACGCATGGCTCTTTTTTATGTAACTTAGAATGGTAAATAAGTTGACAGCCCACCTAAAGGAAAACAGAAACAGTCGCCTATAGATATGAACAGCACTATAACTATTACAAAAAAGTGTTGTACAAATCTACTCCTATATGCGACAATTGCTACTTTTCGCCGTAAACTGTCAGTTTGATTGCCATTCAAGTTGCACACAAAAAAAAATTAACACATTATGTGCCCTATGAAAGTTCTCCATTAGAACATCATATGTACCTACCAAACATGCCTATTGCCCTATAATTACCTAACCATTCATTTGAACTATACAACATACCTTTTGTAGTCTATTCTTCATATGGTCTT